TAGGATTTAGGGTTTAGGGCCACTTGGCTGTTTTCAAGGCTTTTTGGCCATTGATTACCTACTTTAAGATCCAAGTCTACACTCAACATCTTAGGGCTTAAGTTCGAAACAGCAAATCCCAAAGACAATCTTATACCCCAGATTATACACCCCCGAATCCCGCAAGCACATAACAAATCTTTAGCCCGACAGCCGCTAAGACACATTGAGGCCACAACACAGGCAATTTTATTGACTTAGAAGCCTTCAAGAAAGTTCTGCCGGCCAACATAAGGGTGCAAAACTGTGATCCCTTACCCCTTCACCCTATACCCTTAATGCTCAGCGGCAACCGCNNCCCCCCCACACCCAAAACACCAAACCCTAATTCTTAAGGCCCAATGTGGACCGCAAGCGACTGCCATCATCCGATCCATCGACCAAGACTTGGCGGCCAACATCGATGCGCCGGAAGAGGACAGGAAGCGGATGATGAGGAGAGGGTCCTAAACCCTAAGTCCTTAACCCTGAACCCTAAAACTTAAACCCTAGACCCGAATGAACGCTAAACGCTGAATCCTAGGGTTATATTGGGGCTGTATTGGGGAACGACTTTAGGGGTATAACCCAGGAACCATTGAGGGCTTAGTCGCAGGATTCAGAGTTTGAGGTTAAACTCAGACCCGAGAGCGAGTTTAGTCTTGAGGGTTGAAGCTATGTTAGTGTTTAGGGTTGAAGCTATGTTAGGATTTCGGGTTTAGAGTTTGGACTCAAGTTAGACGCCCAAAGCCTCTCACCCCACTCAAACTGTAGAGGTATGACTAGTTGCCAATATTATTCGTAAGCATGCCCGAGATGATGATATGCATAGCGTACCCCCAAGAAAATCCGTAGACACTAAATCCAAAAAATCTGTTCTAAGTGCATGTCGGCCCCTACCTGCGTGGTTGAGGTTTAGGTTAGGGCTTCGGACAATGTTGTGGCTTAAGGCTTAGGGCTTGTTAGCTTAGGATTCTTGGGCTTAAGGCTTAGGGCTTGGTAGCTAAGGATTTTTTAGCTTAGGGCTTCGGATATTGGGGGCTTTATTGCTCTGGGCTCGTTAGCTTAGGATTCAGTGGCTAGAGTTGAAGATTAAGATTCAGGACTGGTGTTTGACAACTCCCCCGCGCTACTCCCCCATGCAGGAAGTACCTGATGCGCTGGCATCCGGATAAGAGCCTTGGTGGGACACCTTAACATTAAACTCGAACTGTAGCACTTTAACCCTTGATCCGAAACCTTCGCATATCTACATACTTACACATATATCCCTATAAACATAATATATGTATGTCTCTCTCTCTCTCTCTCTCTCTCTCTCTCTGTTGATGTGCTGATATCTATCCTTACACTTAGGAACCAGGAAGAGTCCCCTAAACCCTAACCCTGAACCAGCCCCAAACCCTAAACAAAGGCAGGTACAACCCCCTAAACCCTAAACCTTAATCCCTAAACCCTAAACCCGAATCCCTAAACCCTAAACCCTAATGCCTAAACCCTAAACCCTAATCCCTAATCCCTAAACACTAACCCTACACACTGAGGAACCAGGACGAGTCCAAGGATACCACCACGGCTGTGATCCAACACCTCTACGCAAGGTGGGGCTCTCAAATAGGAGGCAAAATAAGAGAGAACCTATGGGTTCAGGGTTTAGGTTTTCGGGATTAGGGTTTAGGGATTAGAGTTTAGGGTTTCGGGTTTGGGGTTTAGGGATTAGGGTTTAGGGTTCAGGGTTTGGGGAGGGTTTAGGGATTAGGGTTTAGGGTTTAGGGGGTTGTACCTACCTTGTTATGTCGGGCTTGAATGGGATATCCCTAGCCATTTGCTTGCTGATGTTCCTTTTTAGGCCCCTGCAGCTGTAACATGGGGATTTGAGTTCCCTGAAGTCCTCAGAATCAACCCTGTAAGAGTCATATGTACTATAGTCCGAACTCTTTAAAAGGGGGCTCCCAGAAATCTACCCTATGCCCGCCCTAAAATCTCCACATAAAACGCTTAAACCCTAGACCCCTATATAATCTCTTTATAACCTTATAACATAGTAGCTTCCATTTTCATTTCCGTAAATCCTAAACCCTGAACCCTAAACCCTAAACCCCCCAAACCCTATAAAAGTCCTAAAGCCCGCCATAAAACAAAGGAAGGCCTGGTTCGTGCAAGAGGCTTCGCCGGCAGAGACCGCGCCTTTGCTGGCGTGATCTCCCGGAAGCTTGGCTGTGGGGTTCAGGTTTTAGGGTTTATATGTACTATAGTCTAAACTCTTTGAAGGGGGTTATATAGGGGATTATACAGGGGACTACTATAGGGGATATTAAGGGGGATACTAGGAGTTTAGACAATGGTTCATATAGGATTTAGGTGCAAGATTTAGGGTCTGGGAGTTAGGGTTTCGGGGTTTAGGGGTTTGGGTTCAGCATTTAGGGTTTAGGGTGCAGGATTTCGGGTTTCGGGCTTGAGTAGGGTTCAAGGTTTTGGGAGTAGGGTTCAAGGTTTTGGGTTCAGAGTATTATAGGGTTTAGGCCCACTGAAATGGGCACAAGAGGAATTGTTATCATCCCCTCAGGTCCCTATGAAGTTTTAGGGGTTGAGGGTTTAGGGGTTTAGGCTTTACGGGTTTAGGGTTTAGGAGTTAGGGTTCAGGGGTTCAGGGTTAAGGTTTGGGGTGCGGGGCTTAGGCTTTGCGGTTGAGAGTTTTCGGCTTTGGGCTTGATTGTATAGTGTTTAGGGTTTAGGGTTTAGGGTTTAGGGTTTGGGGGCTAGGCAGGGACGAGATCCCAAGTCATAACCAGGTATTGGGGAAACCAATAATTAGAAAAGACAGCGGGGCGAATTGAAACTAAGGTTCTCTGATGATAATTTTGAGGTTTGAGAGCTAGGTGGGGGAAACCCCCAAGTATGATCAGATGCTGTCCTGTGGTCGCGTTTAATCTCTGCTATTGATGTCGCAGTTGTTTTTCCTAGAACTCCCTAGGTAGAATTCAGGCTATGAGACGCCATCCAATGACGCCATGGACTTACATACTAGTTAACTCTCCGCGACCCTCCAAATAGGTCGTGCATATGCCATTGCCCTACTGGTGCTTAGGGAGTGGGGGAGCGTGTCCTGTCAACTGCCCTTATGTAACCCCCTACATTCATACCCCTGTTATAGTACCTACCTTAACTTCCTCGCATTGAGCTCCATTCCTTCTATATGTGGCGGTTGCCCAAAAACAGGGGGCCCCATAGCAAGGATTAGTATCTTGGAGTCTATATTGGGGTCCTCTGTTGTGAAAACTATCATATCTGAGGGTATGGCTTCTGTACTATATGTTGGGTACTGCCTCCACTCAGTAAGAGTTGGATAATATTGATAATACAGCTATATATAGCCCTTAATAGGACCCCTCATATAGACTGTTGCTGGGTGGGGGCAGTACCCAAACTATATGGCACCATAAAAAGTTATTCAAAGCACCTATAGGCCTCCTATATAGGGTTTTGGGTTTTGGGTTTATGGTTTTGGGTTTTGGGTTTAGGGGATAGTACCTGTCTGGCCACTTGAATTCCTGCGCAAAATGCACAGGGGTAGTTGCTAAAATTGGGGTCCCATGTTGGGTACCCCTGAATATTTGGTGCCGTAGTAGAATCTATAACCAACAGGGGCCCACAATTTTAAGAACAACCCCACATGTTTCTGTTTCTGTGGAATGGGACCATGAGGTTGCACCAGATGGATCTGAACTTCCCCAGCAGCCTGACGTGTTCAGCAAGGCCTTTTACGCAATCGCGCCCAGCTACATGCTCACAGGCACCAGCCAGAGTCGAGTCGATGCCGGTCAAAGCAGATGGCTGCTAATGACACCACGCCTTCAGAGCAAGAAAAGACAAATTCGCAAAATGATGTCCCGTTTTCGATTACCGGACATGCATGTTGTAGGAAGAAAACGAGGGTCTGAAATAGGAGAAACAAGCCAAAAGCACAGATTTGCATGCTCGTGGACACTGCTACTGTTTTTTGGCAAGGGGCATCTTGGGATAATGTTTTGAGTGAGATACCAGGTACATGTTGTCTCAGTGGTTCATTGTGCAGGTGCTGTGAGCTGGCTTGAGCAGATCCTTCCTGTTCCTTCAGATTCATGCCATAGAGATCGTCTGGGTTGCTGTTAAGGAACTCAAGTTAAGTTACCATAATGTGTAATAGTATCCCCATATAATAGAGAATCAAATGGAAAAGAACATGGAAAATGAAATGGAAACTGAGGTAATATGGGGATTTGAAGGAACTTAAATTAAGTTACAATGATACGGGTATATAGTAAAGAAAGGGGTTTTCCACATTATAATACTTAGAGTTCCTCAACAGCGGCCCAGTGGAAGGCGTGGGAATCTGCCACTATCTACACATCGCAGTGAACTTGAAATAGAACCAGGCTAGGGTTTAGGGATACTAATATGAGGATTTCCCCAAATTACGTGTACTTTTTTTGGGTGTTCCTGGAATTAGGATTGTAGTAACTGAGGGTCTATGTTGGGCCACCCCTATTTGGGTAATCTACCATGTTCAACTCTCCCACCACCCCCGATGTTGCATATGCCCCGTGATATATAAGCTCTCTTAATGGAGTATATTTCATGTTGCGGGTGGGGGGCATCAAAAGTAGTCATAGGCCCCATACCCTAAATCCTACACCCTCACTCCGAAGCCGTGTAAACTTTAAATCAAAATCCTAAAGCAATTTACCCTTAAACTCTACGTCATGTAGCAGTTTCCATTTTCCTTTCTATTCTTAGAAAAAAGAAACCTGGGTTTCTAGACGCGAGTTTTAGTGCCTGGGTTTAGGGCTCAGGGTTTGGCATTTAGGGGTCAGGATTAAAGGTTTAGGGGCTTTTGGAGAGCTCATTTAAGGGGGGACCCTAAACCCTAAACCCATATTAGTCGTATGAGCTTACAGTTCAGGGGTTTTCAGGTTTCAAATGACTTGAACTCTACAGCCTGAACCCTAAACCCTGAAACCCTAAACCCTACCTGGACCTCAAAGGTACGTAAAACAATGGCGCAAAACCCCTAGAAAATGTCAAGCAGTATTGTTCTACACTCTCAACTCTCAGCCCTGAAGCCCTGAACCCTACCTGGACCTCAAAGGTAGGTAAAGCAACGGCCCGAAACAATTAAAACATGTCAAAACTATTATTCTACATACTTTGGGTGTGGGGGTCCAGGTGAGCCTCAACTCATATCAAAACCTAGAAACCTAAACCCTTAATCTCTAAACCCTAAACCCTTAATCCCTAAACTCCAAATCCTAGACCCTAGACCTTATAATCTCCTAAGCCGCAAGCCCCAAGTGCCCCTTAATCTCTCAACCTGAACCCCAAACCCTTAATCCCTAAATCCCTTAATCCCTAAACCCTAACTCACTTAATCCCTAAACCCTAAATCCCTTAATCCCTAAACCCTTAATCCCTTAATCGCTTATATAATCCCTAAACCCTAAATCCCTTAATCCCTAAACCCTAAATCCCTTAATTCCCAAACCCTACAAGTGCAGGAGAATGTCCAACACGAAGTTGGAGGCCAAAGCCTAGCTCCCGGCATGCTCGGCTCCCAGAAGCTGACAGAGTTTTGGGTTTTGTGGTTTAGGGTTGCGGGTTTAGGGTTGGGGGTTTAGGGTTTAGGATTTAGGGTTGGGGGTTACAATTTAGGTTTCGGATTTAGGGTTTAGGGGTTTAGGAGCTAGGGTTTAGGGTTGGGGGGTGGGATTTCAGGTTTAGGGTTTAGGGTTTAAGGTTTGGGATTTAGATTTCAGGATTTAGGGGTCAGGGTTCCGGGCTTTGGGTTCAGAATTTAAGCTATGGGATATAATTCAAAACTTAAACCTGACATCTCACAGGATTACCTCAACCCCCCCCCCCTCTACGCGGCCCACAAGTCTACAACGCCTGAAGAGCCTTGGTGCGCCTTAGGAATGCCTTGCGAGGTTTCAATTTGTGGTTGGCCCATGTACTGAGGAGAGGGGCCACAGTAGCCCACCCTAAATCCCTAACCCCTAAACCCCTAAACCATGAACCCTAAATCCTAAATCCCTAAAGCAGTAAAACCTGAACCCCAAACCCCTACAGACTAAACCCTAAACCCCTAAACCCTAAACACCTAAACCATGACCCCTAAATCCTAAACCCCTAAAGCCGTAAAGCCTAGCCCCTAAAACCTGAAGCCTAAGCACCTAAACCCTAAACCCCAAGAACCCTTCATCCCCAAACCCTATATAACCCATTATAGTAGCTTCCGTTTTCTTTTCCATTATCCCCATATAATATATTCCCATTATGCCATAGTAAGCCCTTAATCCCTAAAACCCTAACACCCTATAGTAGTTTCCATATTTTCCATTATCCCAATATAACCCCCAATATATACCCTATAATCCCCATATAACCCCTATATAATCCCTATAAGCCCTGTAGTTTCCATTTTTTAAATCATGGGGACTTTCAATGAGCCAAGGTACGAGCGCTGGCTTGATCGCATCATCGGAGACAAGCTGCAGGCCGCCATGGGTTTGTAGGCTTTGTAGGGCTTTTGGGGGTTTAGGGTTTAGGGGTTTGTCTTGGATTTAGAGTTGAGGGTTTTAGGGTTTAGCATTTTGGGGTTTAGGGTTTAGGGTTTGTAGGTTGTTGTTCTTAGTGATATCTACTATGGTTACTAGTATTACTATTAGTAGCAGCATTACCATTATTACTACTATTACTATGAAGTAGCTATTATACATTTAGTAATGCTATTATATCATTAGAACCATAATTGCTACTTTTACTGCTCTTCTTTTTTTCGTATCATCTCTCTTTTGTTTGGCCGCGGGGTCGGGCTTGTCAGTTTAAAGTTTAGGGGATTTCAATAGGGTACTGCCCCCACTCATTAACAGTTGGATAATATTTATAATGTACCTCTTATATAGAGCCCTTAATATCACCCTTATTATAGGCTGTTAATGGGTGGGGGCAGGATCCTAAACCCTAAGCCCTAAACCCTAAACCCTAAGCCCTAAACCTTCGAGTTTTGTGTCTATGGCTTACGTCGCGGATATCAGCAGCCTTTGGGCTCAGCTTTCTTCAAAGATAGTTAATGTAGACCCCTGATTAATAAACTCCCTCCTTGCGGTTGGGGTTTATTGGGGTTTTGGGTTTAGGGTTTAGGGTTTAGGGTTTAGGGTGCTTC